TAACAATGTATTGGAGCCCCCGGTGGTGCATTGGGTTAAAGCGCTGAGCTGCTGAGCTTGTTGACTGAAAGGTCGCAGGTTCGATTCCAGGGAGTAGCGTGAGCTTCCGCTATCAGCCCAACTTCTGCCAACCTAGCAATTCAAAAGCATGCAAATGTGAGTAGATCAGTAGGTACTGTTCCGGCGGGAAGGTAACCTCGCTCCATGCAGTCATGCTGGCCACGTGACCTTGGAGGTGTCTATGGACAACACCAGCTCTTCGGCTTACAAATGGAGATGAGCACCACACCCCAGAGTCAGACATGACCGGACTTAATGTCAGGGGGCAACCTTTACCTTTTTTTACCTAACAATGTATTATATATTATAACAATGTGCTATGCTAATAATATAATATAATATAATATATTGTATATGCATATAATATTTATAATATTATAATGTAATACAATATACTAATAATATGATATTATAATTATATATTTATATTACATGTAATATTACTAATAATATTACAATATAATGGTATAGTACAATATAGTAATATTTAATACTGATATTGTACTATGCTAATAATATAATATATTGTATGTATATATATCTTGTAAGGCGCTCTGAGTCCTCTTCGGGGTGAGAAGGGCGGCATATAAATGTCATAAATAAATAAATAATTAGTAGAATTAGAATTTTTGACTGGTCATCACAAGATTCGGACATAGATATACAGGGTTAGTCAAAATGTATAACCAAATAAGGTTGCCCTTGGGCATTCTCTGTTGGTATGAGATGCAAGAGGAATATATTACATCAGGAAGTGCATAGCTGGTTTATCTCTCACTTTGGAGTATTTTGCACAAGACCTTAGACTCAGAACCATGCATTATGCTACTGGATTTACATTATGAAGTTTATTTACTTTAAGGTTCAGCGCAACCTTCTGAATCAGGGCCCCATGCATAAAGATGTGTTATTTAATCATTCCATCCCCATGGGCCTCCTTCTTGAGATCCACCCACACTCAGGAAGGTTTCCAATCTCTCTCTTGTTTTTTAAACCATTACAACATACATGATTTTGTATATGTAATGAAAATGTGTTCACATGCATGAGATTATGAGTAATATATATGGGTGCTGATGAAAGAAGTTGCAGGATATACTTTAAAGTTCTTCTGATCTCCATTTGTTGTGTTCTTTTCTTCCCGGTTCCAATCATATGGGAATTGTGAAACTAATGTATTGTATCTAAGCACTTTACCACTGAGACTATTACTGGTACATCAGCAGCAGAACCTGTTTAGAGTTTTAAAGAGGCCTTTTAGATATTATCCCATACATGTTCATTAAAATATAATGTCTCCAGTGTTTTCTATGTGTCAAGCTTCAAGCAAGTTTGACTTCGGATTACACAATGGCTGACTGCCAAGAAAGCTTTATGGGAATCCTTTGCTTCTAGCTAGCTCATAGGCCTACAGGCATCCCAAACATGTTCAGAGTTTTGATGACTGAAGTTCATGGTTCAGCCTTATTACCAGTGCTTGGTTGGAATGTGAACCCCAGAAGGCAGAGGCAGCATTCCATCATTGAAGCCATTCTGAAAGGCTTAGCACATCACTCTGTGAGTTGCCTCTCTTTCCTATAATATACCACTAGCTGTTTTGTCATTTAAGAAGCCATTGTGTAAAGCAGGAGTGGGGAATCTTGGGCCCTCCTGATACTTTGGACTATGCCTCCCACACCCCCTTATTATTGGTTATGCACTTTTGTACTTCTAGAAGCTGGTATCAAAAATGACCGAGAGTCATCATACTCAAATAAGGGACTCAAATAGGAGTTTCATTCGGTTAAGCTGCCTTTCCCATACTAGAGCCCTTGAGATATGGTCAACTACCATTCCCATCAATCCAAGCCAAGATGGCCATTATGTATATATGATTATTTCTATTGACTGTAGCAACAAGTAGCAATTCCCATACATGGGCAAGCAATTACAGATCAATTGCAACGACTTCATATTATGTGATGTTGTCCATTCACCTTATAAACATCATGTGATGAGTGATTCTGCCATGATTAGACCACACCTGGAATACTGTCTCCAATTCTGGGCACCACAATTGAAGGGAGATGTTGACAAGCTGGAATGTGTCCAGGGGAGGGTGACTAAAATGATCAAGGGTCTGGAGAACAAGCCCTATGAAGAGCGGCTTGAAGAGCTGGGCATGTTTAGCCTGAAGAAGAAAAGGCTGAGAGGAGACATGGCAGCCATGTATAAATATGTGAGAGGAAGTCATAGGGAGAAGGGAGCAAGCTTGTTTTCTGCTGACCTGGAGACCAAAGCAAAGAACAATGGCTTCAAACTACAAGAAAGGAGATTCCATCTGAACATCAGGAACTGATGTGAGAACTGTTCAGAAGTGAAACTCTTTACCTCGGAGTGTGGTGAGGCTGCTTCTTTGGAAGCTTTTAAACAGAGGCTGGATGGCCATCTGTCAGGAGTGATTTGAATGTGATTTTCCTGCTTCTTGGCAGGGATTTGGACAGGATGGCCCACAAGGTCTCTTCCAACTGTACGATTTTATGATTTTACTAGCCATCCCCTGCCACGTGTTGCTGTGGCCCAGTCTGTGTATATGTCTTGTGTTGTATATGTGTATATATATTTGTGTATATGTGTATATATGTGTGTTTGCATGTGTGTGTGTGGTTTTGCACAAGCGTTGTAACTGTTTTGTTTAGTTTTAGTTTTAGTTTTTTTGCTTTTTAAGTCTATCTTACTGTGTATTTTTAGTATTTTTATGAGTGATGGTCACTTGTTGGCCTGATAGATGTATTGTGTCCAAATTTGGTATCAATTCATCCAGTGGTTTTTCAGTTATGTTAATCCCACAAACGAACATTACATTTTTATTTATATAGATGAGTGATCTAAAGATGTGGGGCATACATGAAACCTCACTTTGGTGTGTGTGCAATATGATCTCCGTAGACACACACCAAATTAAGGTTTCATGTATATGATCTCCAGAAAGTCCCCCTTTCTTCTTATGCCTTTCTTGAGGTCATCTTCATTGTTAAGGCACACTGCAGAAGGGGCTTCCCAAGTTCATCATGGGTGAGATACAAGAATCAAATGATCAAGCCACTTCATGTCAGAATTTACAAAGGTCAAAGGCTTCAGTCAAGTTGAAGACTGCAAAGATAAGCAATAGATCTGATCCTTATTCCAGGTATTCTCCATCCCTGCACTAGAAGAGTGAATTTATCCTGTCAGAGGTAGTCCACAGAGAAGAATTATGGAAGTTTTCATTCAACATCTTAAGGGTTGCATGAGCACCAACTCTCCCTTTAGAGTAGAGCATAAGGGATCTAATACTTTGTGTGTCATCAACAAAAAAAATTAACACAGAAGACATTCATGTAAAATGCATAGTTAATACTGTGTACATCAAATCATTCAACCCATGGAAAGGAGAAGGAAAAGGAAGAGGAAGGAGATCATACATGAACTAGTTTGTGATGTCATTAAGTATCCAGAATGGTGTGCTTGCAGATGACATTAAGTGATGTCACTCAACCAAATATTTTAACACATCATAACATGATGTCAGGTTATACCATTCATATATTCATTGGGTGCAGCTGCACCCAAAATGGTAGCTCATTGTTGACAATATTATCACATGCTTGCCACATTTGCATTCTAATTGTATGGTTTGCATTTTTTATTTGCATTAATGCCTTTCTTATCACCCCATTTGCCCTGCCTTATGCTTCATGATTGATTTGCCTTGTTTGCAAAATTAATGTATTATCACACACATATAGATAAATATAGATGTAGCTGCAACACCACAATTACTGCATGGTGTCATTACATCACATTCATCATAGTCCAAATCTTTTGTTGTAACAGGTGACACAAGAAGAGAAATGAATTACACCATCCCTACCATTTTGACATCTTTCTTCTGTGAAAAAAAATGTTTATTACACCAGTCACTTGTTTCAGTGTATCCTGTTCAAAACTGCTTCACCCATACACAGTAATCTTACTAACTTAGGCTATCCTTTTTTGTCCGAGTATGATGGCCTTCCAAGTGTAGTGTCTTGGCAGTGGATGTGTAGGTGACTGTAGAGCCCTATTCTTGACCCACATGTTCTGCCACAGCACTGCTGGTCACAGCTGACCTCCAGTTAGAGTGCTCAAGGGCCAGGCCCATACATAGTAATCTATAATAATTATTACAACATAATGTCATTGCAGAACACACCTCACTGCTGAGATTTTGAGCTGCAAGAAGTGAGACATGAAGGGAGAGGAACATACCATCCTGCACCATTTTTATATTTTTCTCCTATAAAGAATAAAAGTGCTTATCATGCTAGTCATGGTAGATTCCTTGAATCCAGGCTGAAAAAAGGCAGGGTTTGAATCCAATAAATGAATGAATGAATGAATGAATGATGCTGTAAAGTAATGAAAAGTTCTCTGAAAAAGACACCCATGTAGTAAAGGCATCTAAATAGTGATTTTATGGTTAGCAGGTCTGAACTGTATTGTTATTGAATAATAATAGTAAAGTTTAGTGCTCAAGCACTGAGTAGTCTACTGGAGATTTTTTTGGCAATCCCCAAAAGAGATATAAATAGAATATACCCACTAATTGATGGTTTTTGCAATGAAATTGGTGGTTCTCACAATGAAATGGGATGAAACAACTGCGCTCAAACTAACTGAATTGTAGCAGGAAAAGAGTCATCAACAGGTTGTCTCCAGCAGGGAAAAATCGCATTCCCAACAACTATTCAGCACAACAGTATTTGGAGAACCATGAGGCCATGCCCTAAGGCAATAGTAAACCACTGCTGTGGCAGTATAATAACGGAGTGTGCCAAGGCTCAAAGTCAGCATGAAACTCACATGGGAATTTGCGTTTTATATGCAATGAAAGAAATTATTGATGGATTGTTGTTATTGTATCTGTTGTGTCTGTATAGAAAAAAGCTCTGCGTGAAAAATGGCTCTGGGATGGATTAAATACTTTCAGTCCAAAAGAACAAGAAGAAATGCAAAAACAGAGTCAAGAGGATCAACAACAAATGAGTGAGTTGGAAGAAAATATCCTCAGGTACCACACAAATTCTTCTCCTTTGTGCTTTATTTTTAAAAACATGATCATATCAATTTTCTGTTTACAACAGAGGGATTAATGTCTCTGGAAGCAGCTATCATTTTACTTTTTAATAATATAGCTATTTTAAAATTTATTTTAAGATATTTATTTCACCAGGTATTCCAAACCAAAATTCTATTGGCCTTTTTTCTGGTTCTCATATGTAAATGCCTTTTAAAAGTTTCTGGTTATCTGTAGGCAGGTATAAGAAACATTATTTCCTGAACCCCTGGAGAGCTAATGTCATTCACTGTATATAATACAGGTTGAGTATCTCCTGTCCAAAATGCTTGGTATCAGAAGTGTTTGGATTTGGTAGGGGATGGATTTTGGAATATCTGCATTTGTGAAATCGAGCAATTTAGAGTGGCCGTGGATAGTGAGATCCATGCCGAGGATAGCCAGAACCCAAGATTGAGAGCCAAGCCCATTAAGTGGCGAGTAGCACTGGACCTCAGCCAGCCTGTGAAGCCATGTGCTTGGCAAGTATAAGGAAGCCCAACCTGATGAAAAAATAGTCACCAAGTTAGAGAGAAGTCACCAAGGATTTTATTAAAGTCAGCTGAAGTGATGGGAGCTTGCAGTAGCCTACTAAAGATAAGCTGAGATACATAACACAGTAAAACAGCCCATGGGAGGTCACCCTCCACCTATGATATAGACTTCCCTCCATCCAGTGGTTGGAGAGGGGTTGGCAGGTCTCAGAACAGTGGATAAGAGAATGACCTTGTGATACAATTAATTATCCCTGATGTGCAAGCATAATGACCCAATGGGTCTTCCAAAACCTTTATTGTCCCTTATGTATTCAGTCCTGATCGAGCCCAGTGCACCGGACTCCCATGCAAGTTCCTACAGGAAGTATTGGAAGGATAAATGTTCAATGTCTGGGAATGAAAACGGGTAAATGGCCTTTCCAAAGACAGTGGCATGGTTTCTCGTGACTGTGAACTCCATACCGGAATGACAAATGTCACATATTGTCCAAGCAGCAACGCAATGGCCAGTTGGTCCTCCTGGCTCCGGTTGACTTCTATGTCACCTGGGTCTTATGGGTTGCATGGAGATAGCTGATTGTTTCCTATTTTTAATTAAATTTGGAACAGAACATAACATATTACATTCCAGAAAATAAAGTGCCCAGAATTCTTACATGTTAGACATTCCCTCTCTTGCTATATTCTGCTTCAATATCATAGTTGTAAAGTGTTCTCATTCATATTTGGGGAGTTGATTTGAATTTAAGAGTCTACATTTCTTTTTACTGAGGAGTTTTCTTTTGAACGCTATGGACACCTTGAGCAGAAATTGTTTGCTATGGCCCCATTCCAATAAGTTCAAATGCTTGGTCAATATTCCTTAAATGCTCAGAGTTAGAGGTTCCATAATCACCTTGTAATCAAAACAGGTTTCTCAGCAACCTTGGAAATTGGCTTCCCACATGCTGGGAGGAGGGAGGATTTGGGAGCATAGAATTAGCATCAGAACAAACCCCTGTAATGTTACTAAGGCACACACAGCAGCACCTGTTGAAATCCTCAGTGGTCTCATTAAAACTTCCTCTACATGCTCTTTAGAAGAAAATTCTTTCGAAGCCAGATCACCACAAGTGTCAGATCAGAGGCAGTGATTAGTAAAAATATTTGGGCAACATTAGTGCTATTCATAGCATGATAATAGCAAATATAAGTTCTCTTTAATGTGTTTTTGCAGCTACAGATATAAAACTTTGCAGCCATGTATAAACAAAATAGGTGCTTTGCTCATTTGTATACATTCCATTTTTTGTTTGGTGAGGGACACAACAAAAGACAGGACATAAACCCTCCCTTCTTCCAGGGGCAAACAACATAGTTTTGGCCAAGACTTGGGTTGGAATAATGGGAATTATAGTCCAAAATATTTTGAGAGCACTAAGAATGTCTTGGACTAGCCTTGACAATATATATTATTAGATAGTTTTTATTATTGGCTTCTGTTATGCATTTCTTCATTGCAGATGGCACCATTAAACTGTATTCTTTCAAATATTACATGTGTGCAGACTTGAGAAAGAAATTGAAGATCTTGAGAAAGAGGAACTGACAATCTCAGCGAAAGAAAAGGCCATATTAAAGAAGCTTAAATCAGTTGAAAGGACCACCGAGGACATTATAAAGGTCAGAGTCTAATTTTAAAATCCAAGAACTGATTGTTGTTTTGTATTTAAAAAACAGACCAGTTATGAGAGAATGCAAAGATAGATGAAAGCAAGGGAATGGTGTAAGGTTCCAGTCGGATACACCCCAGCAGAAATGGAACATGACACACAGGATCACAAAGATCAATAGGATATGATCAAGGTTACTACAATTAGCGGTGATTTGGGATTTTTTTTCTAAATCCATTTCATGTCACAAGAATGTTTTCTTACATTTATACTTTACATTGAGATATTTGCACTTTGCTCTATGAATGGCAACAATATTTGATCAAGAAATGTCCCGGCATTAATTATTAACTGCATCTTTGTTGGCAGAATATCAAGAACATCTGGGAAAAATTCTGCTGTGCTCTGCCATTCTCTAATGTCAGGAAACAAAGCTGCTCACTACACTTATTCACCCTTCAGAAAAAGCTTGAACAAACACACAAGCTTGGCAAAGCATTCTGAAAGTCAAACAGGCCTGTAGGAGTATTGTGCAATTACAACAGTGGGAGAAAGCTACTGCCCTTGCTTGCCCCAAAGCAGTTTAATTCAGGACGTGGCAGGTCAGGAAAAGCCATGGACAAAAGCTGCCTCTTCACAAACCCAAGCAGAGCAAAGCAATTGACTGGTTCATATGCCACATCAGAGGTATACATCCAATTGCCAATTCAAGCAATTGGAGTAAACCCATTGAATAATTGAAATGGCATAAGTGTTGACCTGTCATTCACCAGTTGATTCAATGGGTCTACTAGCAATTGGATTTAGTTCAGTACCCTAAATGGAAAAGGGAAATGCTTGAGAGGAAAAAGGAACTGCAATGATTGGTTAGTATAGTAGAGCAGGGTTTTGTTTTTTTCAGAAGCCTCTGGAAGGAGGTGAATTTTCTTTTTTTCTAACCACCCTATGCTCCATTAGAAAAAAAAATCCAATTTGCAGAACTTTGTCCAAAAAGGCATTTATATATTTTGCCTCCAATTATCCTATCCACAAAGAAAATGGAAAATTTTGAATGGCAATTCACCTTTAGACTCTGCCATTGTATATCCTCCAACTCTGTATATTCTGTAACCACATGCAAAATCACAACAATGACCATTCAAGCACTACAGATTATTCATACTGCAGTTTCTGCTTGGATTTCAACTACTGATATAAAGTTAAATAGCTTAAGCCAGAGTTCCTAGCATGATTCTTTCCTTAGGTGGTGGATATCAACCCCCATTATTTATAGCCATAAGTACCTATGGCCATGGTTAATGGAGGTTCTAGACCAACAGGTCTAGAGGGTATAAGATTGTGGAAAGCAGATTTAAATCACACATACCCAAAATCCTGTTATAATTTCCATTATGATGTTATTAATCCCATTGTTTCCACTGTACTTGCATCAGCCAAGTATGCGCCTTTGAACCTTGCAAAAGGGAAAAAGAGTCCTGCTACAATTCCATTCTCACTGCAATAGCCTTCCAGCTGTTTTGAGGAAACTGGATTTTTTAAAATGCTAGCTGGCATACACAGCCTTCTCAAGGACTGCTATTGTTGTCATTGTTGTTGTTAGGCGATCCCTCATTGTCCGAATAGGATAGTCTTCCAAGATCAGTTTACTGGCGGTGGGTCCGTAGGTGACTGTGGAGCCCTATTCTTGATCTGCATCATCTCCCGCAGTGAGGGTATTGGTTTCCAGGTGGAAGGCGGTCCTGGTCGGGGTTGGCTTGACATGCCTTCCTCTTGGCACGTTTCTCTCTTTTGCCCTCCATTCATGCCTCTTCAAATTCTACAGCACTGCTGGTCCCAGCTGACCTCCAGATGGAGGGCTCAAGGGCCAGTGCTTCCCAGTTCTCAGGGTCTATGCCAGAGTTTTTAAGGTTGGCTTTGAGCCCATCTTTAAATCTCTTTTCCTGCCCACCAACATTCCATTTTCCATTCTTGATTTCTGAGTAGAGGAACTGCTTTGGGAGATGATGGTCGGGCATCAGGACAACGTGGCCGGTCAAGCAGAGTTGATGGCAAAGGACCATTGCTTCAGTGCTGGTGGTCTTTGCTTCTTCCAGCACGCTGACATTTGTCCGCTTCTCTTCCCAAGAGATTTGCAGGATTTTTCGGAGGTAGCACTGATGGAATCATTCCAGGAGTTGCATGTGACGTCTGTAGATAGTCCACGTCTTGCAGGCATATAGCAGGGTTGGGAGGACAATAGCTTTATAAACAAGCACCTTGGTATCCCTACGGATGTCCCGGTCCTCAAACACTTTCTGCTTCATTCAGAATAAAGCTGCACTCACAGAGCTCAGGCAGTGTGATATTTCAGTGTCAATGTTGACTTTTGTGAAGAGGTTGCTGCTAAGGTAGTGGAAATGATCAGCATGTTTCTAAGATGCAACAGCTGCTTTTTATCTAGGAGTTAGACTGTTGTTGTTGTTGTTGTTGTTGTTGTTGTTGTTGTTGTTGTATCCCACTTTATCTCTTTAAAAAAGAGACCCAAAGCAGCTAACACTAAAAGCAATACAATTTATATTTTAAAACCTAAAAAACATACAAATATTAAAATAAAATTAAACATTGAAGATATTAAAATAAACAGTTAAAACAAATTAAAAACACATTCACATAGGTATGACAATTTTGCCATCACATGAAGTGGAACATGACTGTGGCCTTGGTGGAAAAGTGAAGGATGCAGATGATGTGAGTCAAGGCAAAGTAAATGTTTCCCTTGCAGGATAGACACAGTTTATTGCTCCAGCCACTCTGCTACCTATATTGATCACCTCATGCTTTCCAATGATACAGCTAGCTGTGCCCCTCACTGTATACAATTAAATCCCCACTGCCAACTAAACTGCTGGTGTTAAATGATTCATAATAAATATATACTATGGGAGCAGCACATCACAACTACTCTCTAATTCTAAAATGTTTTTCTTTAGGGGCATGTCCATCATATATTGTTAAAATTTCCATCTTTCTGATGACATTTCCAACAAACATTTTTTTAAATGTTGGTTCCATCTTTGCTAATCATTCTGGTGTCATCAGACTATAAAGCATCTGAAATGGTACAAACCTGCGTGTATGTCCTTCAAGGATTTCAGCAGCTCACTGCATTACTACAGTGAGGGTGGGATTGTGAAGCTCTTATTTTTGATATATGGTGTCAATTTCAATGGGTTATCTGAATCATATTCTCCGTGTATGACAGTTATAAACCAAAGTCAAATACAGTAGAGTCTTGCTTATCCAACATAAACGGGCCTGCAGAATGTTGTATAAGCAAAAATGTTGGATAATAAGTAGGAATTAAGGAAAAACCTATGATTTTACAAATTAAGCACCAAAACATCATGTTTTACAACAAATCAACAAAAAATGCAGTTCAAATTATGTAGTAATTTCTGTATTTATGAATTTAGCACCAAAACATTGCAATATATTGAAACAGCTGTGGATCAGGCTGGGAGGCAGACTGCGTTGGATAATACAAAACATTGGATGAGTGAAGGTTGGATAAGCGAGATTCTACTGTAAAGGCATTAATAGTGTTTCTGGGATGGGGTCTTACTCATGAATTAAGACCTACAAATTAGTTATTTATTATGATTAATTACTTATAATTCTACTAATTAAGGAATAATTATTATAAGTAATGTATGATACAGTTCCACTTGTGTTTCCCCTTTGATTTTTAAAAATACTATGGGACCTCTGGATCCCACATCTTTGCAACTATGTATTTTTACCTGTGCATGCTACCTGGTAATTACACTGAAAATTGAGTGCAGTAGGACATGTTTCTGAATAAGCAAACATAGTATCATCTTGCACAGTGAAGTCTTCATTCCAAGTGAGGAAAACCTTTGGTCCTCCAGATTTTTGCATGTCAACTTCCATCAGCCCAACCAGACTCGACAATGAAATGTGGGAATTGGAGTTGGAAATTTCTGGAAGACCAAAGATTCTGTTTCTCTTTTTTCCTTTACGCCAAGCTTCCCAAATATGAAAATAATTCAGGTTCTTTCATATTTTATCAAAGCTTCATGAAACTCACTAAACCTATTTTTGCTGTTTTTTCTTAGTCTGTGAAGGTGGAAAGAATAGAGACCAGAGAAGGTAAGTTCACTTAAAGCATAGAATTTAAAATTACATAGGCATGTCACACCAGAGGAAGACTGACAAATGGCTCTTTTTATAGAACCTGCTGACTACATATATGCCAATATCCCAGATCTCCCCAAATCTTTCAAACCATCTGCACTTAAAAGGACGAAGCATCTAGAAACAGAGGAAGATGAAGAAAACCGAAAAGGTACAGTTCAGCAATGTAATTAACAACAGTCAGCCCTTCATGTTTGCTGGGGTTAGAGGCATACTACCACTGTGAAAGTAAAAAATGGCAAATAAGAAATTGCTATTTTTTTAACCTGATCTCTCTAGGATTTTCTAGATATTCCAGCAAAACTATGTATATGGTCAACTTCAGGTGGAAATTCAACATTGGAGGACCTAGAGATTAGTTCTCTCTAGATATCTCTATGGCCTCCAGCATGACTGGAAAAAGTTGACCATAGAGTCATACTGGAGGACTTAGAGCTTCTTAGAAAAAAAACCTTTTTAATCAAATTGTTAAATAAGCAAATCCGCAAAAGCCAAACCCGCAAATATGGAGAGACAACTATATATTTAATGGAGTCTTGGATTTGTGGTATGAACAATGAGGTACTCACACATCTCTAATAAGTGTTTATTTATTTATTTACAGTATTTATATTCCACCCTTCTCATCCCATAGGGGACTAAGGGCAGATTACAATGCATGGCAAACATTCAATGCCAATTAGACATACAATATATGTAGACAGACACAGAGGCAATTTAACATTCCAGCTTTTTCCAGCTTCATGAGGGTATGCTCGATTCTAGCTTGATTCCATCCACGGGGGGAGCTGTCCATTGTGACACTGAGTCCTTTGATGGAGTACTTCCTCATTCTTCTGCACACTGCTGGAAGGTTTTATGGTGTTGTAAATTAGTGAAATTAGTCGCCCCACATAAAGCGGTACCTAAATTTCCTACTTGACAGAAGCAACTGTCTTTTGGGCTGCATGGGTTAACAGCAAGCTAGACTAATGGCTGGAAGCTCACTCCAACCTGGGCTGGCTTCAAACTCATGACCTCTCGGTCAATAGTGATTTAACTCCCAGCTACCTGCGACACAGCCCGGTCCTTCTTCCTGGTGAATAAAACTCAGGAATTACTTCATACTGAGTTTGTATAGATCAATTCATTCTCTTCTGTGCTGTTTGCAACACAGCCCTTGGACACACTCCATGTGCACTGTTCCCTGTTTCCCACCTGATCAGACATGAGACAGAGATAAGCTTCACAAATGCTGTTTCCTCAATAGTATTACTAATAATAGTAGAAGAGAAACCATAATCTTGATCTGAATCATCAGGGCAGGTAGGAGAAAAGCTTCTACCCATTTTCAACAATATCCTGTGGGTAAGATCAGTTTGAGGGAAACTTGATTAAAAATCAAGATCACTTTTATAGGCGTGGGGTAGTCATGAAACTATCCCACGCCTCCCGATCCTGTAAGCATGCCTGTATTTCACCACTACAACTCCCTCAAAGGGTTATCACCTTTAGCCAATAACGTTTGCTTTTAAACATACCCATTTTATTTTAATGGAAATTGTCCATGCCTCAGGTACTGACTGATTCCAGGAAAATAGTACAGATCCCCAACAGCACACACATTTTCTGTAATCCCCATGTACATTGATTCAAATGAGAAGCCATGGAATTGAGGAGTAGCCCAGTCACCAATTTGGAAGGGAAAGTGAATAGCCAGCATGGTGTAGTGTTTTTAGAGTTGGACTACAATTCTGAAGACAATGGTTCGATTTATAATTTGGCCATTTGGCTCACTGGGTGACCTTAAGGAAGTCACACACATCGCAAATCTAGAATACTTCATGATAAGTTCACTCATAAGGCAGAAATGACTCGAAGACACATAACAACAAGTGGGGAAGGGGTTGTCTGGGGACATTGGCTGCCTGGGAATAACATGTTGACCACCCCATATTATGTGTAAGTTGATTAGTCTAACATACAATATTAGCAATTTATTAAACCTCTCTAAAGGGAAATTCTGTTTCTTCTGATACAGCCCTGTTTGCTATGGAAATTAAAGTTGAAAAAGATATGAAGACTGGGGAAAGCACAGTTTTATCAACAATACCCCTTCCATCAGATGAATTTAAAGGTGCAGGAGTAAAAGTGTACGATGATGGCCGAAAGTCTGTCTATGCAGTGTGTGCCAATGGAAACATCAAAACCAATGAGGTGGATGGCCTTGCACCTGTTGAGGTGGAGGACCTCTTAAGACAAGCAACTGAAAAACAGTCCAAGTCACCCACTGAATATCATGAGCCAGTATATGCAAACCCATTTTGCAGACCTACAACTCCTCAGAATGATAAGTCAACCCAGGGACTTAATGGTGACAAAGGTGCTACTCCAAGTAAGATGAACAGACTTGATTGTTTTGTCGACGAAACAGCCAATACCAAAGAAAATGGTTTAGACCATTCAAAGGACTGTCAGAAGAATTCTCACTCCCCAGCTCTTCAGCAAACAGCATCTGCTCTATCAATTAGCCCCCCAAAGAAGGTAGCAACAAATATTCAAAGAGAAGTTGTACAAGAATCTGTGGAGCCATATCACAAGATGAGGCAAGATCCAAAATTGAGAAACTCTGTCAACACTAATGAAGGGCCTTCTTCTGTGACATTAAAAGGTGATGACGAGTCCAGTTATAGTATAGTCCAAGCAGTACCGTGCTATGTAGATGATACAGAACCTGTTACAATGATCTTTATGGGATACCAGCATGTGGATGATGAAGAACTGAATAAAACTGTCTGTGGATATGATGGGATTATCCATGCAGAACTTGTTGTCATAGATGATGATGAAGATGACGAAGAAGAAGTAGTAGTAAAAGAAGAAGACAGCAATGAAGGCAATAAAGTTGAGACACCCTTGTATCATCCAGTGGGTCCTTACAGCCAGGTCTACCAGCCACCCAGCCAGACAAGTGCAATTCTACAAGGAAACTCCAGCAAAACTGCTGGTGACAATATGAACGACTCACCTTACAAAAATTCCATATCACTCAAGGAACAAGAGGAGAGTTTAAGCCACTCTACCTACAACGGTCAACTCGAAAACCAGCAAGCAGGTGATGGAACGGAAGATCCTTCCTTAACAGGTAAAAAACCAAGAAAGTCACAACGATGTTGTGTTCTCATGTGATTAGTTGTTCCAGTTACTCTTTCCTTTTCTTTCTTCTCCTGTCTAATATACAATTTCTATTCCATTCCCTCCTTGTTTTTTAATGTGTAACACTTCCATTTAATCCTTAAGTATGTGCAAGATAACAACAGCCACAGGATTTTGAGGAACCCTATTCTTCAAAGAAATAAAATTAATGTTTCTTGAAGTTAAGTAGAGAGGAGAAGGAAAGGATCAGAAATGAATTTTGAATATATCTCCAAAATGCTGATTACAAAAGCATTCACCCATTGTCCCTGTGACATGTGACAAAATGGGTTCAAATTGCATTTTGGTTGTAAATAATTGCATTTTGTCTTAATTTATAGATTTTGTATTTTGGAACTCAATTGTGCCTCTGTCTCCTTGACTTTGTACTGTAGACTATACCTTGCACCTTAACTCAGAAATATTAGTTAAATAGATTTGCTTTACTTTTACCTGCAAAATCTGACATCTTTTCTTACTCTGTGTTTGTTTGTCTTTGTGTCTCTTTTTCTATGTATGACTACAACCAAATTCTTGTGTTTCTGCTAAACTCTGGCTCTCTGTCCATCTACCTTGAATAAAAATGTCTCACGTTTTCTAACCTGTTTGCATGAAATCTTTAACTCTTCTTCTTGCTATACACATATTGCTTACAATTGTATTCTAAAAGCACAAAATAACCTTGAATCTAGATTTCAGTCCTGGTTCATATTAATGCTGCATCTGAGCACACATAGTTGTTGATAGCACTTTGAGTGAATGTAAAATTGCCTTTTTCACATCTTATAATCCTGATCTCCAAGTCAGTGCTAAAATTTAGAACCATTTACATCTATTGACTTCATTCAGCAATGCTGTCATCCAACAGAGGCTTACATGGAAGGCGTTCCATTAACAAAAATCAATTAAGCCTATTTCAACATTATTGAATGCAGAACCAGGACACCCAAATACTTTCTGAATGTAAGCAAGACTGGAAATGAATGATAGCATGACAGGGGCCAGAGGGTCTTTGCCCCCAATTCCCTTTTTGTACTCCAGGCAAACAAGTTGGATATTGATCAATTCAATGATGGCCCAGTATAAATCATTTAGCCTTCTGTTGGGTCAATAGTCCATATGGGGTTGCTCAAAAGAATATTGTTGGCCTTGAAAACATAGGATTCCACAGATATATAAACCCCATTTTCCTAGTTTACAACGGACCTCACAACCTCTGAGAATGCCTGCCATAGATGCAGACAAAACGTCAGGAGAGACTACCTCTGGAACATGGTCATACAGCCTGAAAACCGTACAGCAACCCATAGGATTCACTCTTAATTTATTTAAATATTTTCAGTCAAGGACATGAATGAGACAAGGCTCTGAAGGCCTTAGTCCTGATTGCTCCAAACTGGTGGCCCCAGATGTATTAGACTACAGTTTCTATTGCCCCCCCACCCCCACCCCCAATAACATTGTTGTGAAAATATTTTTCTGTGTATATTTTTGAAAATATGTATTTTCCTGAACACAGCTACATAGAACCTTGCAAATAATCTGGAAAATACAGATCAAACAAAATCCTAGTATTTTTATTTTTATTATTAGCCAGAAGACAGTCCTCAAATATCTCCAGTCTAACTTTTTTATGATTTCCCACATAGGATCTATATTCACTGGCTCTTTTCATAGCTGGTGATGGTTACTGGCTATATGCATTTGAATTATATTAGAATTAGAAACCTTTGCTGATTTGCAAAGAAAGACTTTCTTATCTACCATTTCCTCCATGCAGTAAGTAGTAGCCTATCTGTCTGAGCTACAATTTTGGAACAGAAATGAACTTAAACTAGCTGGCAGCAGAGAATTCCAACAGAACTTAGCATCCACTGTGTTGCCATTGAATTGCTGTGATTGCTTTGGTTCCCTTCTCTATACCTCTTCCCACACATTGTTAAAGGGTCTGACCACACACTGAATAAGTAGTGAATGCTAGGAAATGCGTAATTTTCTAAAACAATCTCATAATTATCCTGCTTGCTCTAAAAAGGAAACAAAGCCAGGAAGACCTGCTGTAACCAAGGTAGTAACACACAAAGGACTGTTTGTTCTCTTGGCATTTCTTTTTTTCTTGGGGGGGGGGGGGATTCAGCCTATGAATGCCAAAGAAATCATTGCCACTTCATTACATTTGAAGAAGGTACAAGTGCCAATGAAGCATTCCTAGATACTTTTGTAGGAGAATAGCAAGCCAAAAATGCTAAGGAATGAAATGAAAGATTGGGTGGCCAACCAATGTGCATGTAGCAAGAGAGTGTCTTCACTGTGAGAAAGGCACAAGTTGGTTAGTTTAAAAGAAAAGCCAGGATCCTTCAACACTAAGAATGAAAAATCTATAATCCTTCATATATGTTATTGAACTAAAGCTCCTTTCATTCTTCACCACTGGCCAAACTGACTGGGACAGGTGGAAAAGCGTACCTTGAAATATCTGTAAGGTACAGATTCCCTAGCTCTGTTGTTCACATTACCTTGCAGTTCAACATAATAGTCTGCAACTTCTCCTATGCATAGTTGCATACCTCTGCAGCATAAATAGCAGTATAACCTGCAGTATGAAAAAAACTAATTTCTGGATGAGTCTCAGGAGAATAAATAACAACAACAATATCTATAATGAAAATTATAATAGTCATATGACAATGGAAATATATTATTGAACTGTACCAGAAGACCTAGAAAATGCCTAAAGAGAATATCTCCCTAGCACTTCTGAGTCCTCCATAACTTTATGGTCAATTTCTGGCAGAAGCATACCTTAGAATCATACTGTGGAGTGTGGGAAATGCCTAAGAGAACAATTTTTCAGATGTAAGAGAAATTATGGGTACCAATCCTGCAGATAAAGGAGTTGCAATATAGTCTGTTTCTAACGTAAGGCTTTTAGAGTCCTACCAACAGTGCAGAATGTTATTTATGTATATATGTCATTGCAGTATAGGGTTTACAGGGAGCAAGAGGTAACTAGGCCTATGGCCACTGGCTACCAACTTCTCCCAGTTCCGACCCATTTTCACATTAATGGAGTAATGTTTGGTAGCTATAGCTTTAACATAGCTTGGAGATTAACATTCAGCATCTTGAATAACTCCTTTAAAGTTCAGACTACACTTGGCCCTTCAAGTTTGCTGGGGTTAGGGGTGCAGGGCCCTCCACAAAAGTGAAAAACTGCAAATAAAAAACCTTTTTACCTGAGTGAAAACCTCTTTCTTAGATGACTCTGTGGTCACCTTCTGCCAGAAACTGATCATAAATTCACTCCAGAGCAGTGATTCTCAACCTGTGGGTCCCCAGGTGTTTTGGCTACAACTCCCAGAAATCCCAGCCAGTTTACCAGCTGTTAGGATTTCTGGGAGTTGAAGGCCAAAACATCTGGGGACCCACAGGTTGAGAACCACTGCTCTAGAGGACCTTAAGATTTCTAGAGATTCCTGGATGTTCTCTCTAGGAATCTATTGGTCCACCAGCATGACTTTTATGATCAAGTTCTATTGGAAATAAACTATCAAGTTGAATTTTAGAGAATACATGTTTAATCAAGTCCATTAATAAAGAAATCTGCAAAAGTCAAGCCCATAAATATGGAGGGCCAGACTGGATTCACTACTCCACTATCAGGAGACCTGCTACTCACTACTGCCTTAATCTGCACTGTCAAAATTGCATTTATATGTGTAACTTTCATTCAAAAGGCATCTTTCTGATTGTATTCAATTAAGTTAAGAATTGCACTTGAAGTCTCAGCAATTATGAAAACTCATGGATAGGTATGCTCTGATCTTCATTTTAATCCAGGTGACATACTATCCCTTTCAAAGCAGCATCTCTTTTGGCTGGCATGCCTTAGCATTCTAGTAAAACACAGATATACACAGTGACATAAACCCATGGAATCCCTGATACTATGACTGGAGGAATGGACATAGAAATGGAAATCTAATCCTTTACACAGACAACAACATAGTAACTGAAATTGCAACTCCACTTATTACTATGTCATCCAAGCAGAAGAGTTTCTTTGTCTGTTGCCTGTGCTATTATCTCTCTCTGCACTAACTACTGATTTTAACACTAATAAAACAATGTTTTCTCTGTCAGCTATCTTAACTATACAGGAGGTAAGTTTTTCTCTCAACAATAACAAAAATTCAAAAATAGCAATGGAATAACACTTTCAATATTGATTTTGATGTTTCCTTTTTATTTTACAGCTCTGAGAATGAGAATGGCAAAACTGGGGAAAAGGGTGATTTAACATCTGTAGCGGAATAAGGCTAAATATCTGGCTATGTGATATGAACCAAAAGAAGAATTCTCTGCATTTTGGACCTGGGTGGCTTTTGCTTATTCAAATATACATATATATAAATAATGGCACTTTAAATGGACAAATACTCGGACAGAGATAGTTTGCCACTCCAGATCCATAACAGTTTAAAAATGGCATCCCTTTAAGAATGACTGGTAAGAATGATAGGAAACTCCCCATGTTATGATTTGTCCTAGGAACCTGGAAACCTATCTTGGAATGGATAACAGAGAATTTTGTTGCATGAAAATTCTTTCTTTCTCCTTCTTGACCACATGGGCTGCTATCGTAAGAGTGAGCAACTGTGGAATACTAGGGGGCACATCCGCCCTCCAAGAGAACCTACACACAGAGACATCACACTTGCCCATGCAGAAACAAATATCACCTGTTTACCTTGTCATGCCCTCTTAGGGACAAGGGGTCATTTTGACCATGCTTTGACACCTTCTTGAGCTATTTGAAGGCTTAAACCCATTTTTGAAAATTTTAGACCTCTGGGGAACTCAAGAATAATACCAAACATGACGACACTGCCCACCACACCCCCTAAAGCAGTGATTCTCAACATGTGTGTCCCCAGGTGTTTTGGCCTACAACTCCCAGAAATTTACCAGGTTGGGATTTCTGGGAGTTGCAGGCCAAAACATCAGGAGACCCATGGGTTGAGAACCACTGACTTAAAGAAATTTGGAGAGATATTCTGGGGTAAAGCTATTTTACTTCCATGGGGTGCATGCAGCCAAGGAGTCACACATTGCCCATCTCTATGCTAGAGTGTAACTCTTGCATTTACTTGACCATATACCAACTCATCATGATACTTATAGTCATTCACAAGGGTTAGGGTACAGAAATCTCAAGAAAGTGAGAAACTATAAATAAAAAAACACTTGTCTAAGATCTCAAGGGGCCCTTCTGCACAGCCCTATATCCCAGAATATCAAGGCAGAAAATCCCACAATATCTGCTTTGAACTGGGTTATCTCAGTCCACACTCAGATAATGTGGGATTTCTTGCCTTTATATTCCGGGATATAGGGCTGTGTGGAAGAGCCCTAGATCTTCCACTACCACTCTGCTGCCAACATTTACTGGAAACTGCAAAAATCAGAGCTGCAAACATGGAGGTTTCAGAGTACATTCCCTTACCTTAAACACCAGACATGTTCTTTTTCCCATTTGATTCCTACTGGATAAATGGTGAAGGAAATGTTAAGGAAAGATCTGGTTATTACAAACCCAAAGACATGGGGAACTTCATACTAGTAGCCAGCTTTAGTCAGATCTTATTCTTCCCCAATTGGATATACCTTCCTGCTTCAAAACTCTTGCCTGCTATGGAGATGGATGCATGTAATATGTGTAGCACTAACTTGTTTTACTGAAGGCTATGTTTCCAGTGTCAACCAGCTTCATATTAATGAAGTACATATATTTGCAAGCAGGGGAGAGCTAAATGAAGCAACGTTTAGCTTTCAAATTTTATATTTCTAATTGTCTCAGGAAGTTTAGGCTCATGTTGAGCTTTCTATTTGTTCAACTGGGCCATCCTAAGAGTTAACTGCTATTAAACATGAGCAAGAGCACCACACAGTGTCTCAATAGTGGAAGTGGCATTCCCAATGCTTTGATTTATGTTGAAATAATACTAAGTACAACAACACTGCCCCTTTGCTGCAAAAGAAAGAAATGACAAGTAACATGAAAGATGACATGAAAGATGGATTTGCTGGAAAGTCCAGCCTCTAAAATGTGTCAACAATATACCTTGTGAAGAACTTTGGATCTGTTTTAATTAATGGAGGGGAGGATTTTTAACATGTACCATTGATTATTATGAAATCATGTTTTGAGCATTTTCTGTCTTATACAGAAATATATCCATGGCAACTATTACTGGAAGGGATGGTGGGTTAGGGAGAACTTCTAACATGTCTTTACTGTTGGACTTCTTGGTGGCTATCTTCATGTCCAAGACATCTAGAATTATTCAATGAAGTGTATCCGTTCTTCCTTTTGTCTCCTTCAATGATAGGAAACACAGGCAGACAGAACGTCAGCACTATTACATCCAGAGCATTGCTGAATATACCTGGTCATTAGTAAAACCAGGGAAAGACAAAGTGTGGGCCACAGGTTTAGGTAGGAACTGTGTAACCTCCAGATTGCACAACTGAATTACAGCTCCCACAATTTTTCACCCTTCTGTGAAGACAATGACTTTTGGCTGATGCTTTTGAACATCATCTGGAGTGCTGCAAGATTCCCACTCCAGCAGTTCCTTATTTCAGTCATATTATCTTCGTGTAGAAACAATGCTGACACAAGTGACACCAGTTAAACTAATGCTAGATACGATCCTTCTCTATGAAATGAAAAGGACTCCTCTGAATTTCCATGCATGTATATTAGATGCTAATTTATAGGTTATGTTGTTGCTACAAAACACATGGTAACATATTGTTGGCATGTGAATCCAGATTTCTTAGTAGTCTGCAAGCTACCCATGAATCAACATGTTTGATGTACCAGCCAAATTGGCCAATGCAATTCTGGGATACATCAACCATAGACTACGCTGAAGTATTTAGTGCCATTCTGTTCTGCTTTGATGAAGCCTTGCCTGAAATACTGTCCAGTTCTGGGCACCACAGTATTATTATTTATTATAATGTTTATTTATACTCCTCTTTTTCTCTCCACAAGAAGACTCAAAGTGGCTTGTGTTAAAAGCATTTCCATACAAATTTCCACAGTACTGAGAGGATATTGACAAGCTATCCAGGAGCAACACCAAAATGACCAAAGGTCTGGAAATGAGGCCTTATGAAGAACATCTTAGGAAGCTGTTTAGCTTGGAGAAAACTGAAAGGTGGTGTGATGGTTATTTTTAAATGTCTGAAAGGAAGTCATGTGGAAAATGGAACCAGCTTGTTTTCTGCTGCTCATGTATATACAACACCCAATGGATTCAGACTAGAAGAAAAAAGATCCTACATTAACGGGACCTCTTTTTTTTTTTTTTACTATAAGAGCTGTTCAATGATAATAGATTCTTCCCCTTTGGGTGGGCATCTCTCAGGAGTGCTTAATTGTGTATTCCTGCTTGACAGGAGGTGGTCTAAATGGCCCCTTCCAAGATTCCTAGAATCATAGAATAATAAGAGTTGGAAGAAACCACAAAGGCCATCTAGTGCAAACTCCTGCCATGCAAAAAAGCACATCCCTGACAAATGGCCAACCAGCCTCTGTTTCAAAGCCTTTTGAGGAAGGAGCTTCCACCACTCTCCAAGGCAGTGAGTTCCAATGTTGAACAGCCCTTACAATCAGGAAGGTCTTCCTAATGTTCTGATAGAATCTCCTTTCCTGTAATTTGAACCCATTATTCCACGTCCTAGTCTCCAGGACAGCAGAAAGCAAGCCTGTTCCCTCTCCCTTATGACAGCTCTTCATATATTTAAACATGGTGATCATGTCTCCTCTCAACCTTCTCTTCTGCAGACTAAACATACCCAGTTTTTTATGCCACTCCTAGGGTATGATCACCTTGCAGTTAAATCGTGGTGCCCAGAACTGGACTTAGTATTCCAGGTGAGGTCTAACCAAAACTGAATAGAGAGGCACCATGACTTCCCTTAATCTAGACACTAGGCCTGTTTGATCAAGAAAAAATTTGTTTCTAAAATCGATTTGTAATTGGGGTGTTTTTTTGTTTCGATATTTAAAATAATTACAAAACTTTCCCAAAAAAAGTTTTGGTATTTACAAAATTTTGTAAATATTAACGAATTTTTAGAATATTTTTTGTATTTTTTAAGAATAATATTAAAATAATATTAAAAAATATTTTAAAATGGAAAATTAACCAAAAAATGGCCCAAATGTGGACCAAACACAGCAAATGAGAGCACACACCAACAGAAGAGTCTTTTCTTTTTTAGAATATTTTTTAAGAATAATATTAAAATAATATTAAAAAATAATATTAAAAAATAATATTAAAAAATATTTTAAAATGGAAAACGAAACCGCACAGGCCTACTATACAGACATAGCGGGTTTGAGGCAATTGCTGCTTAAAGCCACAGGCTGGTGACAGAAACGAGCAGAAGTGGGTGCAGAGTGCAGCTTAAAACACTGGAAACTTGAAGCGATGGGAGGGGGGTGTGGGCTGTGAGCAGCTTTGTGCGAGGAGGGCCTACCTAAGAGAGGGATTGTGTGTGTGTGGATGGAGGAATGGATGGATGGGGTAATGTATGGCCATGTTCTAGAAGCATTTTCCCTGGATGTATCGTCTGCATCCATGGCAGGCATCCTCAGAGGTTGTGAGGTGAGGATGCTTGCAGAAGAAATGTCAGGAGAGAATGCTTCTAGAACATGGCCATACAGCCCAAAAACTTACAACGCATTGATTCCGGCCATGAAAGCCTTCGACAATACTGTTAGAGATGGTGGGAGCTTAAGTCCAAAACATCTAGAGGGCCGAAGTCTGCCCATGCTGGGGTGCCCTTATGCTCCAAATGAACATAGTGGGTGAGAGGTAATTACTGCCTAAAACAACAGGCTGGTGACAGAAATGAGCTGAAGTGCAGCCTCCCACACTGGAGATTGGAAGTGATGGGAAGGGGGCGTGGGCTGTCCTCCTCCTGGGCCGCTTTGTGTGAAGAGGGCCTACCTAAGAGAGAGAGAGAGTGGATGGAGGGATGGAGAGATGGGGCAATGTATGGCCATGTTCTAGAAGCATTCTCTCCTGACATTTCGCCTGCATCTATGGCAGGCATCCTCAGAGGTTGTGAGGTGAGGATACCTGCCATAGATGCAGGCAAAATGTCAGAAGAGAATGCTTCCCACACTGGAGACTGGAAACGATGGGAGGGGGCGTGGGCTGTCCTGGGCCGCTTTGTGTGAAGAGGGCCTACCTAAGAGAGAGACAGAGAGAGAGAGTGGATGGAGGGATGGAGAGATGGGACAATGTATGGCCATGTTCTAGAAGCATTCTCTCCTGACGTTTCTCCCGCATCTATGGCAGACATCCCCAGAGATTGTGAGGTGAGGAAGAGCGGGGGAGTGGGAAGAAGGTGGCGGCTTTCCTACCCTCGGAGCACGTCCTGCTGCCCCCTCCGCCGGACGCGGTTGGTGGGTCCCGGCGCGGAGCCTCCTTCCAAGCTGCCCAGGAGGGGGAAGCTGCTGCCGGGGTGGCTGCTGCTGCTGCTGCTCCCTCCGCCGGCCGTGGCTCCTGGCTCGGCTCCTTCGGCGGGACGAGCCAAAAAGCGGGAGCCAGAAGAGGACAGAGAGGAGCTAAGCAGAGCCGAGCGGAGAAAAAGCGGCTGCCCGGCGGAAGGCGAAGGGAGGGGAAAGGCAGAGAAAGAGAGGAAGGGGAGGAAGGGGCCCGCGGAGGAGGGCAGACTCCGGCCTGTCAGCAGGGACCCGCCAAGCACGTGGGAGAGGAGCCCCCGAGAGAGAGGGGGGGAGGGAGAGGCAGCGCCAAAGGGGCGGCGGGACCGGAGAAAAAGGAGGAGGAGGAGGAGGGCGGCAGCGCGGCCCTCAGGAAAGGATGCCTGCCTGCTCGCACAGACCTGGGGAGGGAGGAAGAGAGGGAAGGAGGAGGAGGAGGAGGAGTGTTGGAAAACGGGGAGAGGGGAAAGAGGGCGGGGAGAGCAGCCCAGGCCGGGAAAGAGGGGAATGCCAGGCACCAGCACTCCAGCAGCCTCCATCCCATTAACGAAACGAGCGGAAGCTCGTTAAATCTATGGGGGTTGCCGGTTCGATATTTTTAAACCCTTCCGGGTTTGAAAATGTGTTTTGATATCGCTTCGGAAATGCCAAAAATAACGAATTAATAACGAATTAACGAATTAACGAACGAAACCGCACAGGCCTACTAGACACTATACTCCTTTTAATGGCAGCACAAAATCTCATTGGCTTCTTAAGCTGCTGCATCACACTATTGGCTCATGTTCAACTTTTTGTCCACAAAGACTTCCAAGATCTTTTTCAAATGTAGTGTTGTCGAGCCGGACATCACCCATCCTGTATTTGTGCCTTTCATATTTTTTTCTGCCTAAGTGAAGTACTCTACACTTCTCGTTGTTGAAATTCATTTTGTTAGTTTTGGCCCAACTTTCTAATTTGTTGAGATCATTTTGAATTCTGATCCTGTCATCTGGAACATTAGCTATTCTTCCTAATTTGGTGTCATTTGCAAACTTGATAAGCACACCCTATAAACCTTCATCTAAGTCAGTGTTTCTCAACCTGAGGATCGGAACCCCTGGGGGGGTTATGAGGAGGGTGTCAGAGGGGCCACCAAATACCACGAGAAAACACAGTATTTTCTGTTGGTCATGGGCGTTCTGTGTGGGAAGTTTGGCCCAATTCTATTGTTGGTGCAGTTCAGAATGCTCTTTGATTATAGATGAACTAGAAATCCCAGGAACTACAACTCCCAAGTCAAGGTCTATTTTCCCCCAAATCCACCAATGTTAACATTTGGGCATATTGAGTATTCGTGCCAAGTTTGGTCCAGATCCATTATTGTTTGAATCCATAGTACTCTCTAGATGTAGGAGAACTACAAAAACTCAAGGTCAATGCCCACCAAACCCTTCCAGTATTTTCTGTTGGTCATGGGAGTTCTGTGTGCCAAGTTTGGTTCAATTCCAACATTGTTGGAGTTCAGAATGCTCTTTGATTTTAGATGAACTATAAGTCCCAGCAACTACAACTTCCAAATGACAAAATCAATCCCTCCAACCCCACCAGTATTCAAATTTGGGTGTATGTTGCATTTGTGCCAAATTTCATCCAGTGAATGGAAACACATCCTGCATATCAGATATTTCCATTACAATTCATAACAGCAGCAAAATTACAGTTATAAAGTAGCAATGAAAATAATGTTGCGAGTCACCACAACAAGAGGAACTATCTTAAGTGGTTGTGGCATTAGGAAGGTTGAGAACGACTGATCTAAGTCATCAATAAAAAATGTTGAACACCACCAGGCCCCGGACTAAATCCTGCAGCACTCCACTAGTCACTTCTTTCCAGGATGAAGATAACCATTGGTGAGCACAGTTTGGGTCAGCCACTTAACCAATTACAAATCCATCTAACAGATTCTATGACAGATTGCCAATCAAATCAGAGTAGCTTTCTGTAAATACTAAATCACAACATTTTTTACAAACAAAATTTCCATGCTTTGCATTTGTCATAGTAGCTGACCAGATTCTCTCGATGCAAACATATTTATAGTAGTTGCTAAATGACCAGCAACTGTTATAAATTCCACAGCTATCCCATTTCTCAAATACTCAAATCATGCATCTGTTTGAGGTAAGTTAACCATTTTGAAGACTGTTTTCAGAATAAAAAGACCTTTTTCCAAAAAGAAGTTAATATAATAAACATTTTAATATAAACATGTCATACTTTCAGAACAAGATAAAAGTATCAAGTATTGGAATGGAATGCAAAACTACAAAACCTTAGTATAAAGAAGCCCCACATTTGTGTTTTTGAGTGTGGCAAGATACGAAAGCAATTAGAGATCAAGGGAACTACGAGTTATTATCTATGGGCACTTTCAGGGATCATGAAATCCAGTGATCTGCATAGCATTTACATAAACTATACTCATAGTAAGTTAGCACAAGCTGTTTCCATTTAGTGTTGTGATGTGTAAGAAAGATCAGCTCATACAATGAAAGTTTTCCATCCTACAAAATCCTCTTCATCCTCCAAGACATATCCAAATGTTCCTTAAACTTTCCAGGGCCAGAGGCTTCTGGAAGAGGACCAACATCCAGACAAACAGGCCTACAATTTACAGAATGGCTAGTTATTTTTAAAAGAAACTTTGGCTGAACAGAGAGGGGGAGACCCACTCATTATCATGTGCAAATCTGAAGTTACAAAATGTGCAAGGTCTGAAGTTACAAAATGAGCAAGGAAGTTCAAACAGTTTCTATTGCTCTTGGAATGCTCTCTTTTGACACTCACATCCTGTCATTTAAACTAAAAATCCTGAATTATTTCATCAACAAAATCTTTGAAGCACATTCATTCACTCCTCCTCTTTACGTTGTTCCTTTAAGAATATGTTTCTCCATCAACCAGGAATGGCGGTGGTATCAACAGGTATTTAAGACCTATCTAAGCTCCATTCTCATGGAGCTATTAAATTTCCAGATTTAACAGCTGCAATCCCCATGGAAAAGTCAAAGGTCCATAAAATCTAGTGTCTCAGTCTCAGCTGAAGTCAAAATACAAAAATGGGGCACCACTTGTCAAAGTCATTATTCTCCAAGTCTAGCTCCATAACACTGTAGCAACAATTATTTGTGTTCAACTTGACTAGAATGGACTACAAGCTATCCTTGATCCTATAGACTCCAAAGAGAAGGAGTTCCATGTTCTCTTACACTGTAAGGTGGCTGTTTGTCACAGGACAAACAGGCTTATTAGGAACTGCGTTCTGAGAAGGAAATGAAAACATAGTTGATGAATGAGAACAGCAGGTAGGTCAGTTTAGATACACAGGAAGCATCAAACCGAACTTGCTGAAAGCAATATCCTCTTCTATAATCTTCTGAGGCAGATGAAACTTTAGTGAGACATTCAGTCATGAGGAAGAAAAAGGAAGCTCCAAATCAGGGCTGTGACATCAGTGCTCAATATATCTAATTTTATCCTCCAATGATTGTGCGGCAGCAATTCACACACACTTTCTTAAATACTGGATTTGTAATAAGAGTTTCATTCAGAGATTGGTCTTTCTGCTGTGAACAGCAGTATAGTCTGAGAGTGGCAATCCTTTCACACCATATTTTCAGAGTATCCAAGTCCTCTTCAGTCATATTCGTACAATTGCCGTCAGGAAGGTGATGAGGAATGCTATGTTTCCACAAATGTAGATGAACAGCACTGCCTTCTTAAATGTATGGCCCTGGAGAGAAGGCAGAAAACAAATGTTGAAGGCTCATATCTGTTTATGAAATCTTGCATTCTTTTCCATTTTTTATACTTGAACCAACTGGTCAAAAGAGAAAATATGTGTATTTGTAGAACTTCTTGCACAAAATTTTTGGTTTTGCACAGAAGCCCAGAATTCTGCACAAAAACCTAGTGAATTTTACAAAAATAACCAATTCACAAGAAAATTGTTTTTTTTCCATCCTGAATGTCTGTCTGTCTCTCCCTCTCTCTCACACACACACACACAAACACACAAATATATATATGGGTGTCTTCAGAATATTTAGGTCTGTTATGTCAAAAACTATATATGAATGATCAATCATTTTCTCAATGGGTGTCAATAAACCGTATTTTATCAAGTTTTTGACATGTTGTTGTTCATTTGTTCAGTCGTCTCCAACTCTTCGTGACCTCATGGACCAGCCCACGCCAGAGCTCCCTGTCGGCCGTCACCACCCCCAGCTCCTTCAAGGTCAGTCCAGTCACTTCAAGGATGCCATCCATCCATCTTGCCCTTGGTCGGCCCCTCTTCCTTTTGCCTTCCACTTTCCCCAGCATAATTGTCTTCTCTAGGCTTTCCTGTCTCCTCATGATGTGGTTTTTGACATAACAGACCTAAATATTCTGAAGACACCCATCTAGTTTTGGAATCTATGAAAAGTCAGGCCTTCCTAGTACTTGGATGCAGGACCACCAAGGAATACCAGGTACTGTAAAATACATTATGTGGAAAAGCAATGGCAAACCACCTCTGAGTATTCCCTGCCTAAGAAAATCCATTAACATTGATGGGATTGACATAAGTACAAATTGCTTGAAAGAATGTATACACACATTCTTTATACCACCCAGGACACAGGCAGTTAGGGAGACAGGAGAGCAATCACAATGCTGACCATTGGGGACAGAAGGGATATCATAGCATATCCAGGCTATGAGCAGAGAAAAAGAATACTAAACATGATCCCTATACAACACCATTGGGGCCAAGAGCCGTTAAACTATGGTACCCCTACTTTCTGAAAATGTTAAAATTCAATAGTGTCAATTGTGTGGTCTTGCCGTTTTTGTTGAAATGCAGTTCCCATCATTCCTCGATAGCATTGTGAATGATAAGGATTAAAATCATTTGGGAAGCTACTGGTTTACTTAGATCTCCTGGAGGATTGCTCCATGTTTTGTTTTTGTTTTTTGTTTCTTTTAATACTTTATGTATATACCACTTTTCTCAGCCCTCAGGCGACTCAAAGTGGTGAATAACATTGATACAAAACATCACGAGACAAATATAGGGCAATTAAAAACAATTGTAACATAAATCATTAACATCAGAATAACAATCATTAGTGCCTCAACAATAAAATCAGAATCCATTCTCATCATCCATTATTCCATTCCTATGTTCAATTACACTGTTTAATCAAATGCTTGTTTGAACAGTCAGGTCTTCACTTTCCTCCGGAACGCCAGCAGGGAGGGGGCCGATCTGATATCTGCAGGCAGGGCGTTCCACAGCCGAGGGGGCACCACTGAGAAGGCCCTGTCTCTCGTTCTGAATTAGTTTGCATTGTCTCTTAGTTCAACATGTCTAATTTCTTTCATGCACACACACATTTACCTGTGCCTCTGTGGAGTTAACAGACTGTAAAATTTGTATCCTGTCTTCTTCCACCACTTCAACTGCAACAAAAAATATTATTAGAGATATATTGAAGAGTGGCATATTCACTCCTTCACATTTTACATTCACACAAACTTAGCTATCCTCCTTCCTGGTGGTTTACAAGATTAGTTTAAAACATAGGCAAACTAAGTGGGTCATATCCTGTCCACCCAGTGCAGCTTTCCCAACACATTCAGAACACAGTACAGTGGGGAGGGATGTGTAAAAATTACCAATAAGACTCCGTAAAACCTCTAGTATATTTCATATAAATAAAAAGCCAAGAAGACCTTAAAAATTAAAGTATAAGTAACAACTTGAATGAAAAAAATGGTTAAATGAAGCCCATTAAGAAGCCTCCAGATCCACTGAAGTTGCCCACCCCTGGCTTTTGAACAAATGAACAACTGATTCCCACAGTTGATGTTGACTGTAAGACCCATCAGCTCTAGCCATCTCAGCCAGTGGTAAAAGATTATAGGAACAGTGGTCCATCATCATCTGGAATGTTGATGATGGACCACTTGTTGACCTCAACTTTAAAGGGATGCATGTAAGACAACAGACATGATCCAACACAACATTCAGTTCATTCGCTTTACATCAATATTATTCAAAGTGATGGTCCATGAACCAGGGCCAGTACAAAAGGTATCAGCTGCCAGGAAAGAATTAAATAATTGCAGGAATATAACAAATATAATGCTGGTCTCTGGCATGCTGGGGAAGGGAGGGATCCTTGCCTTCTCTTTCTGGACTATCACAGTACAAGTCATCCTAAGCTGAAGCCAACTTAGCAGCATGCAAACATTAACAGTCTGTAAGCAAAAGGAGAACTGGTTGAGTCTATAGAAAAACCAAGGAGAACATAAGGCTTCAAGTGACAGTTTAGTTAGCATTCTGTCCTTCAAAGCTGTTCTGTACATTGATGACGTTTTTGTACCTGTTTTCAATACCCACGTCCTCTAAATATCGATAGCAACGGACAAGCACCTACTTCCATTTGTTGCAAAGGACAGCTACTGAAATTGTTTTTAAAGCAAAATTTAAGTGAAATTATTTGTACCTTTGCGAATTAGATAGTAGCCATGAACCTCCAGAAGAATATCAGTGCCGACATGCCAAGCGACAAATCCAATCATGGCATATGTATCCCATGGGTCTGGTAGGTTGAGAGCTGGCAAGTCCATTCCCAGGAACATTGTCACCACTATTAAAAACAATATATAGTTTATACACTTGCTTTTCGGCAGATAATGACTGAACATTTAAAAAGATGATCAAAAAACTTCACTTCCAATGGGCAGTTCATTTCTATACATCATTAAAGTAAAGGTAAAGGTTCCCCATTACATTAAGTCTAGTCATGTCTGACTCTAGGGGGTGGTGCTCATCTCCATTTCTAAACCAAAGAGCCAGTGTTGTCCATAGACACCTCCTAGGTCATGTGGCCAGCATGACTGCATGGAACGCCGTTACCTTCCCACAGAAGTGGTACCTACTGATCTACACACATTTGTATGTTTTCAAACTGCTAGGTTGGCAGAAACTGGGGCTAACAGAGGGAGCTCACCTCGCTCCCCAGATTTGAACCACCAACCTTTCAGTCCGCAAGTTCAGCAGCTCAGTGGTTTAACCCACTGCGTCACAAAGGGCCCATAATTGCTATTAGATATTTAAGCACTCCTATAGAAAACGCAGTGTTTGAATGGAATCGTGTTTTGAGTGCTGGGATAGGTCCCCAGGGTGCCATGTTTCAAATCTCCTCTTGGTCATGGAAACTCACTGAGTGACCTTGTGCAAGTCATAGTATCTAAACCTTAGAGAAGTCAATGGCAAATCTCCTGTGAATAAATCCTGCCCAGCAAACCACATTAGTGAAGGCATGTAACAACAATAATGTAGATAGGTAGCCTCCACAAAACAGTCAGCTTTCTCTTCGTGGTTTAAAGTGACCAAAGCTTCTGAAAGGCTGTGTCAACAAAGCATAAGCTCTGGCAGATTCCAACAAGCAGATGTTCTAACAAGCAAACTGCAGAAGGCAGTCTCTGTTTTTGGCATGTAAGGACAAGCCTAGATTACATCCAGAGAGGCTCATTACCAGGAGCATAATCTTCAGATGATAAACCAGACAAAGTGACAATTCATGCAACAGTTGAAATCTGCATTAATGGAACAAGTATGTATCACAGTCAAGTCACTGATCTTTAAAGAGCAGAAGGACAGAGTATAAATGACTCTCACATAAGAATATCTGGATCCCTTTTTCAGATCAAGATATTCCAATACCCACACCATTGCATTTATGAAAGGCTCTGATGCATTGCCAGAGGTGGGCATTTTTAAAACTTGTATGTTGATTTTACATCCAATTAGAAGAAACAAGACTGAAGGTTCAATCTGATACTAAGAATAGGTCGCATGAGCACAGGACTTTGTTATATACATATAAGTCACATATTACTTTTATAAAGACGCACTAAAGGCAGCCATTATTTATTCTCCCTAGCCACCTTGCAAACTCAACATTTTAAGCAATGCTGGCATGAATTACTGACTTACCAGCAAGTATTCTAGCAGTTGTCCCAGTGCTCCAGTGTAACCAGTTAAATATTTCCCTTCTATTCTCCAAAAGACAGAAAAAATAATTAATGAATAGTTTTGAACATCATAATAAAATGAGTAGGATTTCAGTTTTCAAGTGATTGGGGAGTCTATGAAAGCATGAGGCTGCAGAATTGCTTTTGGGCAGGTCCAACTTGAATAAATTGTCATCCGCAGTGAAGAGCAGGATAGTATCTTTGGCATTCAAAATGCAAATGTAGATCAGATTGACAGATGAATCTTACTTCAACACAGGCAATGCATATATGAAAGCAACAGTGCAGTTTGAGGTAGGGAAATGGCATGACACAAAATACACAAAGCTCTACTTTCCAGTCTTTTCTAGCACTACGTCGCTACTTCCTGTAATGCTTCTGAACTGGTTTCAAAATCTTATTAAACAACATCAATGGCAAGTGAATGTATGAACTCTGAGTACCTTGGTGCTTGTGAAGGTGGTCTGAATGCTGCCATGAGGGGCTGAACAATTGCCAGTGCCATCACTGTGCAGCCAAGATATGGATGAAAACCTGCTTGCTGTGGAAAAAATAATTTTAGTCATAAAACAGACTTCTAGAAATGCAATCATTTTCCATAATTTTATGCATCAATGGTAGATTGATAGTTACTGCAGCTTTTTCTCTTAAATCTAGGTTGTCCACTTTCAATACCTAGTGTGTTTGGCTTTTGTTTTGACTCCATGAAGAAAACACACTCCCAAATTATAATCATAATTATTATTGTAATTATTATTTACCTTTTTAATGCCTCACTTTTCTCCCTGAGAGGACTCAAGGCAGCTAACAGCCACACATTTCGATCAATTTAAAACAAAACTAATACAAACATTTTTTAAAAAACTAAAAATATACATTAATGTTAATACAACAACAACAACAACAACAACAACTTTTATTGATTAGCCAGTTGGCCTTATCAAAAACAGACAGTGCAAACACAACATACAACATACGTCTGGTCCTATTAAAATAGAATACAAATATATAGAAATGTATCAACTTAAAACCAATGTAGCTTAGCCAAAGATATATGCATCAACTATCCTCATCTCCCCTACACTGCACCCCAATCTGATCTAGGTACTCTGCTCTCCTTTTAGCAGCTTTAAACAAATAAAGGGCAACTTGTGTTGTCAGAATGCGGTTGTAACCAGCCAATAAAAATGAGGTTTTAGCTGCTGTATCCCAGCTTATTTTATTGCATATAAAAGGCCATAAATATTTTTCCTTTCTTTTTCATATAGATTGCAGTGATGTAAAATGTGGTTCAGATTTTTAATTTCGGGGGCACCACAGATACACAGTATTTCTTCATGTGGGGTATGATTGAATCTGCCATGTCTCTCCATGGATTCAATTTGTTCAAATCTTGCCCTGGTAAAAGCAATTCTTAGGTGTCTTGGCATATCAGCTTTTAGGTATGGCGCCCACTGGAAATTATGTTTAAACGCCCTAACCACTTCAAGGATCCTGTTTTTGAAAGGATGGCTCTATCTTTCTGGGCTTCATGTGGGGTATGGACGCTTTGAGTTACAGTCCTTTTTTCAGCATCCCTGTTCTGGCCTAAGGAGGCAATTTGTAATCCGCAGGTGTGGAGGAACCTTGTTAATTGTTCTGACCAGGAAGCTTGGTTTTGACCATTAGATTGTTCTAAAAAGCACAATTTTGGTAGTCTATTATTTTCGAGATTTTTTATTTTAGACGAGTAATTAAAGGCCCTGATTTTGGCAAGTCCTTCGATAGAATATATTTCTAGCTCTGCTCTGACTGCAGCGGCGGTGGTCTTAATGCCAACACCAAGTATCTGTCTTAGAAATTTTGATTGTTCTTGTTCCAGTATTGGGAATTTGCTTAGGCCCCAGATTTCAGCTCCATATAATATCATGGGGAGAATTTTTGCTTTGTAACCTTTGATTATCGGAGATAGAGATCCAGGATATCTATGGGATAGCAATCTTGCCAGTGTGTTACAGGGTGCCCTAATTTTGATTGCACAAGATTGGAAGTGTGCAAGCCATGAGCCTGTCTCTGAGTATACTAAGCCTAGATATGTAAAAGAACTAACCTATTCTATCCGCTCTGCATCTAGAACCCATTTGTGTCTAGATGGGCGATTTCCAAACAAATATGCATTATTTTTACTTGGATTTGGTAATGTTAATACAATGTGTTAAAATGTTGGCAATATTGAACCAAATAATCCTTTTCTTTTTAAAATACATATTTCGCTGTAAAATTACTCCAATAAAAATTGTTTACAAAAAAAAGTTGGCTATATTACTCTATCCTCTTGAGCAACTTTCTGAAGTTTAGAGACAATGAAATGCCTAACTTCTCTCCTCCACACCCACCATATGCTTAGTTAAGCCTGAAGTAGAAATACAGACCTTTCTCCCCATGTGCAAATTCTGTACTGGGTAAAACCAAGAGCTTTTCGAAACAATTTCCTATTTTACAAGAACCTGTTTTTCTGAACTATTCACTATTTTCACCAAAAATAGCAAGGGCATATGTGACTCAGCTCTCTTCCATTTCCATTGCTCAGTCTAATGGTTGTCAAATCCATCATCTGTGTTGTCTTGAGCCAGTTACCTAGATACTGATGGTGACACATATCAATCTGAACCAAGTATATTTATACTGCTTTGAAGAAGTGGAGTACAGAAGATAAAATCCTAGGCCTAACTAATTTGTGTATCACAATGAAGTATTAAATTCTTCCAAATGCACAGTTAAGGTTGGGTGAAAGAACTGTTGAAAAAAAAATAGATTCTAGCATTTCTCCAGCTTTCATATTAAGACATTGTCCTCTAAAGTGATCTTAATGCTTCTTAGCATGAACACTTTTATTCAATTTTCTGGTCTATCACAGAGCTGGGCTAGCAAAAATGTTCCTGATTATTTTCTCACTGTGAGATGAAGATTAGGTTCACTGGCAATGAGGCTTAAACAGGAAACATCACTCCTCCTATATATATCCATACAGTCTAAGATGCTCCAAGAATTTCAGAATGGAATATCGATCTGATTCTGATCCTTGTTCTCTTGTATTCCTCAAACTGAACTTTATCTGTAATGCCAGGTAACACAGTTTGGTGGGGATATAACCAAATAGACTTAGTACCACTGTGGAAGATTAGAATTTTCTTTTTTGAAAACAAATTATGGACCCTAGCACAACAAATTATTATTCATGGGCTTAACAGTTTATAATAATGTTATTCATTTTAAGAAAAATGAATTATTGAAAAACTTGAGCAATACCACTTACTTCACTCCAACCTCCACGGTACAAAAATGGAAGAGCAAAAGACACACTCGTAAGGAACAGTGTTGTCATCATTAGCATTCGATGGACCTATTGTTAAAATCACAAAACCAGCTTAGTTTCAATGGAAGTCACAAATTAGGTTTTATGCAAGTTCTAATATTGAGCAGAAACCTATCTATGTATAAGTCAAAATATTATGTGTCTATCTGTCTGTATATTTGTCTGTCTGTACCTCAAAAGCTATTGCTAGGTGAAGTGGCTTGTTATCACTTGATTGGACATTGCGAGGTGAAATGTGTGCTTGGGGGGGGGGGCACAAGCAGGGGCGGCTCAACCCATTACACAAAGTAAGCATTTGCAGTATAGTTGATTTTGCCCAGGGGCACTCTTGAGGCGCTCTTGGGGGGAAATAGACTTTGACAAATGCGAGTTGTAGTTACTGGGATGTATAGTTCACCTACAATCAAAGAGCATTCTGAACTCCACCAATGATGGAATTGAACCAAATATGGCACACAGAACTCCCACGATGAACAGAAAATATATATCAGTGATTGGTTGGGGGGGGGTGCCAAAATACTGTTTGCTTACCATTGAAAGTTACCTAGGGCCGCCTCTGGGCACAAGAGACCCATGTTGCAATGGAGACACTGTGAGATATGCCCTCTCAGAGCTGGTGAAGGAAGGAAGGAAAATGAAATGAAAGAATGGAGAAGGGAAAGAGGAAGGGAGGAATGAAGGAAGAAAAAGAAGGAAGAAAGGAAGAGAAGAGAAAGAGAAAAAGTTATGACAGGAGAGAAAGAGAAAGAAGGGATGAAAGCAGAGGGCAGTGCCCCCCCCCCAACAGCAAACAATGTTGGGTATATACACTAGTTCAGAATAAGACTAAATTGTAAGCACTTATGGATTCACAGAAAACCTTCATATGCACTGATAAGTGATACAAACACAGCTTCTAGACAAAACGCTCCTTGCATTAATATCGTTTTCTTCTTAGTGGATAAAGACAAAAAATAGGAAAATTTAAATGAGTCACTGGTGGAAGATAACATTACCAGTGGAATTCTGTGACACAGGTGAGAGCAATAGCATAATAACAACCTTATTCAGAAGCCCCACTGCCACAAATTCATTTTTTGATCTCACCTGAAACCAGATTTCTTCTCCAAACAGCAACACATGTGGCCAGACTGGCTTGAAGAATCGGGCAACGATCACACCAATACTAACTGTAGACATCCATGCAACAAACATTAATGCACCTGAATAGAAGGCAGAAGACAACTGAACTAAGACTTAGAGTACAGTGCTGAATAGCTATCATAGCTTTTTAAAAATGAGATGAGCTTCAAACCTTAAAAAATCAAGCTGAATGCATGCTGAACCTCTTTATGTTGTTTTCATCACTACCTACAAGTCTCAGAGACAGATCTTCCACAGCTTCCGCTGAAAGTGTCCTCTAAATCTGCAAACTTTTTTCTTTTGAGAATGAGTATGTACACAAGTATTGAGGCCTCCAGAGGGGTATGAAAAAGATTCCCACCAGGATATTCTCCATCATTTCATCCCATGTTTTCCTAGCATGCACAGAACACAGGACAACATGGTTCCTGTCTCCTTGTGACACCACTCTGATAATTCCCTCACTCTGATGGATGGGTTGGCCAACTCTGCAGGAGGTAATCCCCTTCTTCAGAAGAAACCAAAATATAGAAGAACACCATCAGGTTCTTGATGAGCTTATGAAAACTCATCTATTACAGACTGATCAAACAGGCTACTTCTCAGTTAACCAACAGGAGATAATTTCACTCTTACATATAAACAGAACTGGAAATCATTATACTTAACAACAACAACAACAACTTTATTTATAGACTGCCCTCTCTCCTCAAGGGGACTCAGGCCAGTTTACACACAAAGAAGGCAAACATTCAATGCCCGAAGTCAAATACAAATATTTTAAAACAAACAGAATAATACAAAAATAATAACCATAAACTTGTGACAAAAGAGAAATTAACACCAAAATCAGGACCAAATACAAATAATTGAATAAACCCAATTATACTAATAACACGAATTAACCATTTAAACATAAAGCCTAGAAAAGGCAATTAAAATACATTAAAGTTATACTTACCATGGATTTTAATAAGAAATGGGGAACGGGATCCTCCAATATCCTTTGGTGGTCCTGAAACATTATATTTGCTATTTGTTATTAGAGGCTGTCGGTGATGTTGATGGATTCTACCTCCTGCAAAAGAGAAATGATTGATTATAATGGATATGCTCCTTTTTTTGGCCTTATCTCTATCATGAACCCAGCAGATGAGGGACAATGGCATCTGCACTTTCTACCATCATTTCTTCCTCAAAGATAAGTTGGTCCACTAACCAGTAACTGCATGATTCTAAGACAAACATCCATAACTAGTGAAGAAAACTTAAACATAAGTATTCACAAGGACATCTTTTTTTCTTCCCAGGCTTTACCTTCACTGACTTCACCATCTGCTAGAAAGATGTAGTAGTATGCGTCTAGATTAAACCTCTCTTTAAAAGCAGGAAGCTTCATTCTCCTTCTGAAAGAGCACTGCATAAGGCCATCAGTCACTCTCCACGACTTCTCTTCAAGATCATCCTAAGAAATATGCAGTATAGATTTCGGATTGGTGTTTCAAAAACTGAACCATCACAAACAGGCTACATCCTGCCATGTTTATTGTTCATTTGGCTACTCCCTAAAGAAACAGCAATGGTACATTTGCAGAGATAGCTAGTGCAGTGTAGTGGTTTGAGTGTTGAACTGTCTGATAACAACTGGGGGGTCTTTCCCATTATATTGTGTCATCCCCACCCCCACCCCCAATTCACCTTACACAATTATATTTAACTGTCATTGCAACATAACATCCTGGACAATGGCTTTTGGAATGCTAACTGGGAAGAATGGCAACACTGGGATCTATAATGAATTATCAGCACAAGACGCATCTGTGGAGTCTCTCTTGAAACCGTAATATAGCACCTATACATTGTAGAAAGTACTAGAAAGGAAACCATACAATATACAGCTGGCATCTATTATATGGCTCTTATTCTTCTTGAAAGGAATAGAACAGTTTCTTTAGGATCACCTACATCTTAAGTCTTTCTTAAGGATCACCTACATCTTAATGGCATGAAGCTATGGTGCATTTGGAAAACACAGAAGGAATCCATAGATTGACTGAATTTTCCTGCCACTTTGTATATGCGACTTTTACATTTATAATTATATCCCACAGTGTGCCAAGTAATACAAGTGAATACATACATTTGTTATACATAAATTCTGTGTAACTTCTGAGGCAAAGTCACAAGCTTCTAAGGACCTTTATATAGAAAGACCTTTATATTTTTGGTATTAAGATCAAAAAAATATGTGGTTCTCCAAATGTTGGAGTGTTATAAGTCCCATCATCCTGAGCCCAGCACTCCTCACCAGTTGGTTATACAGGCCAGGGTTAATGATAGTTTAAATTCCAGGACATTTGAAAGACTTCAGGAATCCTACTGATGGCCAAGAAATCATGCCATTTTATCCTGACCGGATATTTGGATGAGTCGAACTTTGACTCTTCCAGGTTTAAATATTCAATACTGGATACAATTCCTTATTTTTGTTGTTGTTTGTGATACAGTGGCCCTAAGGCAAACCTATTATGGGATTTTGTTGGCAAGGTTTGGTCAGAGAGTGCTTGCCTTTGGCTTACTCTGAGGCTGAGAGAGGGTTTGCCCAAGTTCACCCAGTGGGTTTCCATGGCTGAGAGCTAATTTGAACCCTGATCTCTAGGGTCAAAACACAACACCACCTTGAAGGAGTGATGACATTATTATGTCCCATTGAAGTGACAATGCGCCTCTGGGCTTTTACTGGCAAGCCATTCTAGTCTGGACGCGCATGAGAAATTCCAGACCCCTGACACTTATGCTCCACACCATTCTGGCTAAGTATACAGGGCATCATGACCTGGGACTGGAGGCAGGCCGCCCTCCCCAGATGCATACACTGTTCCTAACCAACTGACCATGTATGGACACTACCCTTGAAGACAGGAAGGATGACATCACCTGTTGCTGACCTTACCTGCAGATTACCTCACCCTTGAGAGTCCAACCAATCACTTGACAATTATGTAATCCCCCACTGTTGCTATGCAGACTTTGCTAAAGAGCACAAAAACCTATATAAGCTTTGCTTAGGGAACAATAAAGAGGTCATCATCATTCACTTCTACGCCCTGCTTCCCGCCTGGTCATTATCGCGTTTCTACATCTGGTGACCGACGACGTGATAGGATCCAGGCCTTCCATCCCATGCTTACCGCTGGAATAGCTACAAGGTGCGCACCTCAACGAGTTTTCTCGTTCCCACTCTCGTAAGTATGGGGTTAAGTATGTCAGTTCCGCAGCTGAGGCATGCACAAGAACTGTACAGGTTGTTAAAACAGGCAGGGCATTTTGAAGTAGATCAGGACCAGGTAAAAGATTTACTTGGAGAAATCAGATATCATTGTTTATGGTATCCAGAAGAAGGTTCTTTAAACCCATCAGATTGGGTCAGGATAGGTCAAACCTTTCTTGAAAAACCCCAGGGGACAATTCAACAATTGTGCCTTTGGAAACAATGTTGTGAAACAATCACTCTCCTGAGAGTGACAGATAATCGCCCACCCGTGGCTCCGGTCACAAATCAACCTCTCCCGACTCGGATCATAAATCCTCTTTTTACCCCGCTCGAGATGGGATGTTCACAGATAGCCCTCCCTATCTTGCCTTCATGTGTCTTTGCTTTTGAATCATCCCCCGCCGATCCAAATCTCCCCTCCTCTCCTCTTAAAAATAAACAGCCAGGTCTTGAAAAGTTTTTACAGCCCCAGCCACTGAGAGACATGATTCCTCAGACAATTCAGAATGCTGGGGGGCGAGAAAACATAACCATAACCCTTCATGACATGACAGAGTTCGGGGAAACTGTATCCTCCACTGATCATATTCAAGACACAACAGCCGTGATTCCAGACTTAATTTATGGCTCCGACACATTCACTAAAACAGCTGGCCAACCAGAGCTTCCAATAATGTCATTTGATCCCGCAACATTAGCGGTTAAAGAGCCTAATCACCAAACAATCATAAATATCATAATTCAGCTCCCAGATTTTGAGCCTGAAAAGACACATGCTTTTGCAGGGGGTGTTACATAAATAAACAATGCCTATACCATGTCCAGATGGACTATCAGGTCACAGACCTCTACCTTCTCCTAATGCATCATTGATGAGACAGTTTAACAACCCCTATCCCATTCCCTTGAGTTTCAATCGACACCAGCTAGATACAGCTATGTCGGTGTGATTTTTTAACACCCCCCCCCTCCAAAAGACAACATTAAAACATTTCTATTTAACAAGATTTCCATTCAACAAAAACATAAAGCTCCCATGACAAATATGGTTAAAAAACACCCTCTGATAAACTTATACTGTCATTAAATAAACATTTGTTACAAAATGATTTTCAAGATGAACTTCTGTTCAATCAAAAGTTCCAAAATTACAATACATAAATAATCTAAAATCAAAGATCTATATATAGAGTCCTCATTTTTTTAAATCATGTTTTGATAAAAAAGCTTTCAAAGTTTTATTTTTGATAAAAAAATAGACAATACACAGTCCCTTAAAAATTGTCAAGCTTCATTTTCTTTAATGTTAAACAACATTGATTAGTTATAAGATATAATGAGAGCCACAATACAACATCTAAATAGTGATTCTCAACCTTCCTCATGCTACGGCTCTTTAAGATAAATTCTTTATGTTATACTAACCCTCAACTGAGAGATGTTTGAGATTGTTTTCATTTACTATTATTGTTTCATAGTTATAATTTTGCTCGTTGTTATTATTGTTTTATAGCCATAAGTTTGCTACTGTCATAAATTGTGATATACATGTCTGATATACAAAATAGATTCTCGTTTACTTGATCTAATTTGACACACATACCTATACACAACAATTTAAATACTGATAGAGTTGGTGTTGATTTCAAAATCAAGAGTTATAGTTCCTGAGATTCATAGTTCACAATCAAAAAACGTTCTAAACTCCACCAACAATAAAATTATACCAAACTTGACACACACAACTTCAAGTCCCTTTCATTTCAAAGGGTCAATTATATATAAGACTCAAATTACATTCAACTTATACACTCTTAAATTTTAATCACACCTAAAAACCATACATTTCATCTGATGCTTACAAATAAATCAGCTCCACAAAAACACACTTCTTACAAAACATTGGTTGACAACACATGCTTACATGATAACATATCTTGCTATGTTATTAATCATATTACACATTAAACATTTTTGCTTAGTTCATTTTAAGATTGAGTTTATTAAGTCTACAAATCATAGTTTTGTTTATTTCTTTTGATGTTCTTTTCCCTTTCCTAAGACACCAAACTCCCCCCCTCCATATCAAACACAACACGCTAAAATCAACATTTTAAAAAATCTGATCTCAGCTTTCAATAGATCAAACCATTATATCATAAATCTACCACACTACAAACACACACCCCTATTCGTTACCCACATCTCAGCCAAAGGTTTAAAATACCTACTTCATAAAAACGTTAATAAAACGATACTCAAAACCAGACATTTATTGCTTTATTCACACATTATATCTCTACCTTACACACTAAAATCCATCAAAAAATCTCTCCCCTCTGCGAGAGAGATTCAAGCCGACAGACACGATACCCCAAAAAAAGGAGAGACATACATTCCACAAATAAGAGATAAGCCGTCCCAGCCACGGCTAGGCTCTAAACTCTGATTACACACACACAAACACTTCCCCTATCCTGTTTCCGTTAAGATGACTTTTTGATTCATGATTGTTTATCTTTTGATTTATGCTTGGTTACTCTGTTTTATTCTTTTAATCTGTCTATGTTTTTAAATGTGCTTTCATTCTGCCTCTATACCCGATATACTTAAAAACTACAATTCCCTTCCTTACACACCGATGCCCATTCTATACTGTGCTGGTCAAAGACCATCATAAATCATTGATTGATTAATTAATGACTATCAAAATCCTTGCTCTTCAACAAAACACAGCCCTATAAGGGTCATGCCTTTTCATCCTCATACTACAAAACCTATTATCCATTTCTCATTACACAATTACTAAAGTTTTCCAACGGGTCTACTATTGATCATTATCACACTACCCATAACATTGCTCAAAATACATTCATAAACATTTCTGCTACAACATACCTTATATTACAATGCTAAATTCACAATATTCTGC